AAAATGTTTAATTAATTATTAATTACTTAATTTTATCCATATTATAAATTTTAATTTATCGAGGAATATGATTAAAATCACTCTAACGCGAAGTAATTTTTTTCTATATCTATTCGAATTTTGAATTCAAAGATCATTTTACGAAGAGATGGTCAATATGTTTAAATAAATAACGGAAGTAAAAATAAATTTGATTCGTACATACCGTAAAGTTTTTTTAATTAATATTTTTCTTTTAATTTTAACTTCTCGTGGTCGCGCATTTTGCGATACGATCGTCACTCGTATATTCGAACCGTACGAAATATTTGTCGGTGACGATAACCGACTATGGAAGGAGTTCTCTTTCTTCCTGATCTCTGGTCAAAATGACCAGACTGTATGGCCAGGAGCAACGAAAGGTAGGTCCAATCTGGCCCAACGCAAGATTCAACGAGATAAGTGGTCCTTTTTGACCACGATGGTGAAATGTATAAAAATTTATTTATATCTTCTTGTATATATCTTTTTATGTGCCAAAATTCGGGTGGGATATTCTTTTCTATATTTTCTCGCGCCGGTATGCGAGATTTTCAAAAAACTGAATTAAATCTCAATCGCGCGCGAGTTAAAACCCCAAATTGTATCCCTAATAATCGCGTCGCGGTTTTATTTTAAATAAATAAATTTTAAGTAAAATAATGTAGAGGTGACGCTCGTTTTATGTGTACACAATTAATTTCAATTTTAAGAGGCCAAAATTAACGAGCTGGTATATTGGATGTTATCAAGGTAAAGTTGTATTCTTAATTCATTACATCGGTGAACGTTTCGACTTCACTTAGTCTTTCTCAACACCACATTATATAATTTGATTAATATAACTTAATTAAATGTATAACGAGTTAAATTGTTAAATTATAAAATTGAATAAATAAATTATAAATAGATTCATAAATAGTAAAATCGTCCGATATAAAACATGTAAAAAATTCTCCCCCCTGTAAATTAATTATAGTCATTATGGAAGTAAAATTAACAACCTTCTTCTTCTTGTTAATTTTACTTCCATAATGACTATAATTAATTTACAGGGGGGGAGAATTTTTTACATGTTTTATATCGGACGATTTTACTATTTATGAATCTATTTATAATTTATTTATTCAATTTTATAATTTAACAATTTAACTCGTTATACCTTTAATTAAGTTATATTAATCAAATTATACATATAATGTGGTGTTGAGAAAGACTATAAAGTGAAGTCGAAACGTTCACCAATGTAATGAATTAAGAATACAACTTTACCTTGATAACAATTCAATTGATCCAATATACCAGCTCGTTAATTTTGGCTTCTTAAAATTCATTTTAATTAAAACTATGTAAGTTTGTTTAAACGGGTAGGCAAAAAAATGGACAGATAGGACTATAAAGATGAATCGGAATACAGGTAGATACGAATTCGGGTAGGTAGGAATTCGGGTAGGCAGAAATTCGGGTAGGCAGAGACAGGGAGACATGTACTATATATTTTCCATAAAAATTTAAGAAGTATGTAAAATTATAATAAACGAGTTATTAGGAATGTTGTACTCTCGTTTATTGTAATTATCATGTATTTCTTGTGTATTATTTAATAATCATTAAACGCGTTAAAAATATTATATTGTAATAGGTATTGCAATATTAATTCTGTAATCGGATGCATACAATAAGACAAAAATCATAATATTACACGGTTGGTAAACATTTAGTTTAAAACTTTGGCACTTTGGATTTACTAAAAAAATGTTAATAAATTCGGGAGATTCTTTACTTGCAAAATAATAAATTTATTAACACTCTTTTTATTCGCGATTATTTATGTAAATTAAATAAAGTGAAATTATTTTTAAAATATTATTCGGTAATTGGTAAAAAATATTACGCAATAAGTACATGTAAAGATTTCGTCTTATTGTACGCAAACCGAATTTTCAAGTGTAATTTTATTTGAAAATATTGTATAATTTGTATCTAATTATATTTTACATTATAGTTTGTAATTTGTATTGTATAATGATTTCTTTTATAACACTGAATGTTTTGTAAATTGCTTGAAAAAAGATAAATAATAAAAATGTTAAAAATCGTATTGTAAAGAAAAGAGGACCGCTGATTGGGATCAGCGGGGGCGGTGGAGGGCCTCTTTAGAATAACTTTTCTATTGTATGAAATTTTTTAAGTTGGTCTAAAATAATCTTTTATGCGATAGATTTGCGTTTGCGCATTTACAATACGATTTTTTGTTTACACATTTATAAAGAATGTTACATATTAGGTACTCTCTGAAAGTCAATCAATGAATTATCACTGGAAACGGTTATAACTATTGAATTATTCAATGGTATACTTGTAACTGTGAATCAGTGCGTATTCACTGTTTTCTGTAAAAATCCACTGATTGATTTTTGAAGAGTAGACATAGCTACATGTTTTGTATTGTAATATATTATAAAATTAATTGTGATGAAAATATAATAATGATAAAAATGTCAAAAGAAAATGATTATTGTAAAGAAAAGAGGACCGCCGATCGAAATTGGCGGGGGTGGTGGAGGGCCTCATATTTTTGCAATGCACTTTCAATGTAAACACAGTACCGTGCAATTATTGATACGTAACATCGGCGTTACATTAGCATTTATTCTACATTCAATATTACAATTTTATTGGGCAATCTTGCTAATACAATCAATCCAATATTAAATAATCATCTAGGTACAATATCAGTAGTATATTTGGATTTATTTTATGACCAATATTGGTGTTATAATGGGGAAATTTTGGCCAATTCACTGCCAACATAACCAATGTTTAACCAATGATCTTCTTGGCTCTCTGATCTAAGATGGAATAGGTCGCTTCTCGGCTCTCTGAGCTAAGATGGTATAGGTCGCATCTCGGCTTTCTGAACTAAGATCGAAGTAATCGCTTCTCGGCTCTCTGAGCTAATTGTAAGATGGAATAGGTCACATTTCGGCTCTCTGAGCTAACAATAAGATGGAATTGGTCGCTTCTCGGCTCTCTGAGCTAAGATCGAAGTAATCGCTTCTCGGCTCTCTGAGCTAAGATGGAATAAGTCACA